GCCCCGGTCCCAGCCCCGGTCCCAGCCCCGGTCCCAGCCCCGGCCCGCGCCCAGGAGCGGCCCCGGAGCCGAGCGCCCCCCGGAGCCTCCGGCGACACCGCGCGGGGAGCGGCGCGCCCGGCCCCAGGGACCCGAACCCCCCGTGAGTCCTTGAAGTCCCGTAAAGCCGCGCTCCCCTTACCGCAGAGCGGGCCTGGCTCAGAGACTCACAGGACCCGGGCGCTCTCTGGGTCCATGACAAGGAGGAGGGCGCAGAGCGCCCCGCTCGCAGGCTGAGCACCCCAAAATGGAAATGATGGCACCAGGGAAGGATGGGGGCAGGACACTGCACCCGGGCGCCCATACAGGTGCGCTGCCCAGAGAGGGAGAGCCTGTTAGCCCAGTTCCAGCATTAGTCACAGCTCCAGTGAGGCTGAAATTACGCTAATGATGCACAGGGAAACTAGGTCTAACGCTCCAAGAGGTGCCTCCTTTTCACCAAGGCAGCAGCCAAGCACAGTGCAGCTGATGAGGCTGCCCAGCAGCTGCAAAATGCAGGTGAAAGGAGCCGGTTTTCTCTAGGCAGGGAAAGCTCTCTGCAGAGGCTGTAGCTTTGACCAGTCTCCCAGAGCATTTCTGTCCCCCCAGCACTTGCTCCATGAGACTAATGATGCTCTTTGCACACACTGCTCAAACTTCTGCATTAGAGCCCTGCTCCTGTCTCATACGGCTCCATGGGCAGTGTCAGATGTTCCCTCATTCTCCTACCTTTTTTTTTCTTCCTTTATCTTGCAAATATGATCACAGAACAGGAAGCAATCAAAGGATACACTTCTTTAGGTTGGTACATACAGAATGTTCAAGTTATGGCTCTTGTTTTCTACTGCTTAGACTGGTGCTAGGTAATTTATCTTGTGAGATACCATAAAGCTAATTTGGCAGCATGGAGGAATAGAGAACTGCTTATTCTGCATCAAGAAACTCCAGCAGAACTCAGTCTGTCCTGGTACATSTTCTTCTATATCCATATTCTCCAACTCTCTTGCAGAGAGTCACTTGGCTTCGAGCTTCATTGGCATCTTTCCCTTTTGATGGTGCTTTGCAACCATGTGAGCATAGAACCAGGGGACAGATTTACGGATTGACCCCAAGACACAGCAATACACTGCTCCTCACTGCCATTCTCCCTTCTGCCACCCTCTTATATTCCATAACCCTGTCAAGTTCACACAGGTTACAAAGGCAGTTGTCTTTATTTTTTGACACTTGTGTGCTCACACATAAAATACCCCTAAGACAAAAGTTCTAAAAAGTTGAATCATGACAGTTGCAAAATTAAAATTCCCAATAAAGAGGACAAGACAAATGGCAAACCACAATGAGGTCTGTTCCAATCCCCTCAGAGGCCAAAAATTCTCTCTTGCCACCCTGCTTCGGCCTCTAACCCAAGCTCTGTGCGACAACCACGGTCTCAGGCCCCTCTGCATTGCTGCAAATCATCCAAGTGATTGTGCAAACCCGAGGGGAAGTGCTGAAAAATGCTMAGGCCAAGTTGCAGCTCACGTACACGGGGGTGGTTCGTCAGCCTCATCCAACACCCAATTATCTGGTGTTGCACACACATGTGGCTTCCTGTAACAACAGGGCTCCTTGCTGTGTCACCTTGCTGGGAGCAACTGGAAACTCAGAAATCCATCCAAGTTTCATGAGATGAGGTGAGCAGATCTAACAGCCCTTTATTGCCCCTCATCCTTAACATGCTCTGCCATTGCTGAATTATACTGACTGGGGGATTGGATTGCTCCATAAAATAATTTTATCTAACTCACCTAATAGGAGAGGAAGGGAAAAAAAAGCAGTAGGAGAACCATTTTCTATCACATTTTTGAGCTGCRCCAGAAATGGTAAGGAGGCAAGGACAAATAGAAGGGAGAAAGTAAGAACTGCCCTCAACAGCAACAAGCCATTAGATGATCTCCACTGCCCAGGAAAGCTCAGCTTAGGCTGCAAGTTGCTGAATTTGCACTCCCAATGCAGAACTTGTGCTTGAAGCCAACACCTCAAACCTTACAGCAACAGGCTTCACATACCGCAGCGCTAAGGGGAAACCTACATTTTACTTCTTCCTGGGGAGAAAATAGCTTCAAGAGAGCAAGCAACCCCACTTAGGGAAGAAATTAAGGCATCTATGTTACATTCATCTCAGGTCTTCATAAGCTGCACTGCACATTGCTAGGGAAAAAGTATGCACTGGCACATTATTTGCTCAGAGAGAACAAGGAACAGCATCAGGCTGCAGTTTAAAACCTCTGAAATTAGGAGACAACAAAAAGCAGAGCTGAGTAGGAAAAAAGTGTTTTTTTCCTATGCCATTTAAGCATTTCATAAAGGCCAAAAAAATGTTATATTAGAACCTCCATATAGCCAAAAGTTCCTGTATGTCTTCCTGCCCTGGCTACATTCACAAAATGCTTATCAAGAGTGCTACAGCACTACAGAACTTGTCCATTGTGGTAACACCCCAAGCAATGATTCCTCAACTACCCTGGTGTGTTAATGCTCTGTTTAACTACTCAGTCTAGTAGCCTCAACAGGATCAGGAGAGGAAGGAAGGTGTTAACTTGCTGYAAGATAAAAAACAAAAAGCAGAAACAGAAAAGAGGAACCCTGTCATACTGCAATTGGGAACTACAAATGTGAAATGGGTGTGGGGATTACAGCAAAATGGTTCAAGGGAATTGTTGCTCTTACAGCAACCAATCAAAGGCAAGTTATTTTAGTTGCAATTTCACAGCTACCTACCTATAGTTAAACTACCTGAAAAAGAAATGGGAGGTTACACTACAGAAAAGATGTTCTCTTTCCTTTACTAGATAGGCAGGACCTTGAAATGAAAAAATCACTGACAGCCTTTTAAAAATAAGACTGTACATAATTTAAGTTGTGGAGGGATCCCTATTATGGGTCTAAACTAGAAATAGACAAAAATAAATGGGGGGAATGTCCAATCATTTTCCCACATCCCCATATGTTGGAGCTGCCTGTCCCCACATGGAGCGAGGGGAGATAACATTCCAGACAGGATTGGTGTCCATAACATTCACACGCCCATCCAAGTGACTCTGGTGAGCGGACGGTTTATTAATTCCCAAGGAGACATTCTCAGTCACTTTCAAACTTGATGGAGTTGACTTGGGTCGATATAGTGCCCCCACGGTAGCTGCCTCGTTTTTTCTTTGTCTTCTCATGACGGAAAGTTTTGCCTTTYGTGAACTTGAGGATATTGTTAGCCTTCTCCCCCCAGTCACCAGCAGCGCCTTTCTGTGAGGGACAAAGCAGGGAGCAGAAAAGAGGTTCAGGTCAGCACCCAAAAGAGTAAATACATGCACTGCACTTAACCCTGCTCAGCAAATCCCATAAGAGGAGGGCTGGAGCTTACAGCACTCCACATCCGTSCATCTCCTAGCAGTGTGGATGCATTTCCTAACAGCACCGCCTGGTGGAAGAAGTTCTCCAAAGTGAGAACCCACCAGCAAACTAAGGCCACTCTGATGACCTGTGTTTACAAGGGCCATGTTATTATTCTCACACTACCTAGCCCTACCTTTGCATCAAATGAATTATCCGCAACACGAGCATCCAGCTCAATCTCTTCTTCTCTTACTCGTCGGAATGGAGAGGATGGCTATTAAGAAACAGAAAAGTAGATACTGTAAGTAAACACATACACATGGGCTTGGCAAATACGGAATCCTGTACAGGTAATCTCAATCCTTGATCACTTCCCTGATTCATAACCCTTTCCCTTCTGCAGCACAGGGATGCTCCTGCACAAATAGAGCAAACCAATCTTTGCCAGATAATATTACACACATCTGTATTCTGGGGTTCTATGGACAGAGTTCTTCATGCGACTGATGAGTGGGCAAAAATACAAACAACTTCTGCTGGGGGGAAAAAACCCAAAAACTATGGGATCCAAGGAAAAACAACCCACAATACTAATTCAGGAGRCAAAGATGCCCCTCCTAACAGTCAGGATGCTCTATCCTCACTCACCTGTTTCACCCTGGGAAATGTATTTGGTGTCTTGGTTTTGATCTTTGCCTTTTTAGTGTTTGGTGTCTCTAGCTCCTGGACATCTTCTCTCTTCCGCTTCTTCTGTGTCATACCTGTTAGATATAGAGCAGCAGAACTTCAGTGGGAGTAAATGCCATGTTGGGAAAGTAATGGCACTGCTGTTCCATTAATTCAAACCCACTACTGAAATACAGGTGGGAGAATCAGTTCCTGCAGTATCTACAAAGAAAACAGAGTCTCATTCCACTAACAGCTATCCTGGAGCTGCAGTGCTTCACACAATCCAATCTAACAGCACATACAATTCAAGCCTTCCACCCATGCTTCMGCTCAGTTACATTGTCCAGCAGACCCACTTCCCAACCCGCAGGCAGTACCTCCGTTTGCTTTTCCAGTTTCTTCTTCAGAGCTGCTTTCACTGCTGCTACTGCTGTCAGCAGCTGGTTTGGACTTCAGCTTACTCGCTGCTGGTGTAGATGAAGCTTTTGCTTTCTCTGTGGAAGCAGTGCTAAGAGAACCGTTCACTGCCCCTTTCCGTGTCTTTTTGGGCTTCTCATCTGCTTCACTGGAACTATCAGATGAGCTACTACTACTATTAGCAGCAGCCACCTTCTTCCCCACAGGTGCTTTTGTGGCCCCTGTAGATTTGCCGACAGGTTTTGCTGCTGGCTTCTTCTCTTCCTCACTGCTTGAGCTATCAGAGTCTGACGAGCTTGCTTTGGGAGCTGGGGTRCCAGGTTTGGACACTGGCTTACCCGCTTTGCCAGGCAGTTTAGCTGGAGGGGCTTTCTTCTTTTTCTCATCCTCAGAGCTACTGGAACTACTATCTGAATCAGAGCTACTTTCTGCTTTCTTTGTGGTAGCTTGTGATTTCTTGGTTGCAGGGGGTGTTGCTTTAGTTGCAGGCTTCACAGGGGCCTTATTTTCAGAGCTGTCAGAATCTAGAAGGGAATGGCAAAGCMAAGTCAAGCCTAAGCCCAAATCCTTCAATAGGAAGCTAACATCYGGGTCAGTGTTGCTGCACCCTTAGCTGTTTGGAACAACACTCTGTTCAACTGTACCCTCCACACCCTGGCTAGAAATATGCTAGACAAACATGAGCAGCAATTCTCATTTTCTCCTGTCCCATTACCTGAGCTGTCCGAGGAGGAGCTGGAGTCTTTCTTTGCTTGTGCAGGCTTGGCAGCTACCTTTGCTGGTTTAGAAGGATTCTTTTTCACAGGTTGTTTAGCAGGGAGCTTTCCCCCTTTCTTGTCATCCTCAGAGCTAGAATCTAAGCAGAAGAAGGATGTTCCTTAAGTTAATAAGCTTCTGCTGCAAGTTATCAAAGTTTTACAATAACTTTTACTCAAGGCAACACAATCAGGGGAGATAACATACAGAAAACACATGGAAAAAAATCAAAATAGGTTTTGGTCAAAGGCTGAACCCCTGGAGAACTGTCAAAGTTTGATGAACCTCCCAAATTATCATGGGACAGTGATCACCTTTCCACTTTGCATCTTTGATGGTAGAAGAGGAAACAAGCAGTAATAATTCTTTTGTTGCACGCACAAAAAAGTGGGCAAAAACATGGAGAAATGATAGAAGAGGTAAGAAATAATGAATTGGAAMAAAGTACAAATCACTAACAATAAATTCAAGAAAAGAAGACATAAACGACCTGTTTATCAACAGCCTGAGGATGGGCCTGGAGATTTCTATGCACAAATTATGCCTTTCGCATTGTATTTCCCACTAATTTGGAATGCTAAGCCTGATCTATTCGAAATGCTTATGAAATGTAATCAAAACWTTGTTTCTGAGAAACTAAATAATAAAACCAGAGAACACATGTAACTCTTGCCACTTGTTGAAGGGTCCTACCTTCTATGCTAGCTGTTTGCTGCTGTCACCCACAGCCTCTGCTGCAGCATTAAGGATACTGAGATGTATTTACCACAAGGTCCTCAAACATGTGGGGACAGAAATGTAGCACATGCAGAGTTTGTGCAGGAAATTCAGGGCTGCAAGGCATAAATCTGGCCAACAGACATGCTGACCCCTACTTCTAGGGCCATATTAGAAGCAGCATCCTTTCAGTCTATTTTTGGTATGGTGACAGTATTTTTTATTTGGGAAACTTYACCAAAGTACATAATGGGATAAAAGAAACTGAAAAGTTTAGATTGTTATAAAATGTAACTGCTAACCTTCTTGGAGAAACAACTTCTGCATGWTGCCATACCCTGTCCAGCCTACAACACATAGGCCTTTGTGCTTGTCAATGGTCTCATCTGTGTCCTATGGCCAGGCTTCATTCTGTACARCAAGCTGCTGATCTCCTAGTTGACGATTTGTTTGCTACAGAGGATGAAGCTTTCAAGCTCATACACCAAAAGATCTCRGCAAATATGTCACTATAGAGTGACTTGGTCAACAAGAACATYTGCAGAAATCAAGTCCTTCACATACCTGAATCACTGTCCGAACTGGATTCGGCCTTCTTGGCAGTCACAGCTTTGTTTTTGGCACCAGGAACTGTTTTAGCCACCACTGCTTTGCCTACAAAATCAAGTTTAAAATTAACAAGTCACATTCACATGAAACCTTTGCCTCAAGATCCATTTTTTTCCAGACATGAAAAAGGTCACTATTTGGCACAGTCATTCAGCCAACACACCAGAAGCTAAGAAAGGAACAGCAGTTCCACTGCTCCAACTGCAGTAATGGGTCCCTGCTAAAGTAAATCCCAATGACTTTTCAATCCAACATGTGTAAACCTATCCACTCCACACTGCACACGATTTGGATCCAGAACACAGTGTTCTGTTTGGGACAGTTTCATATTTCTCAGAAACTTCCAGAGAAGCGAGTACCAACATACAACAAAGTAATTTTCCTTTAAAAGAAACCAAGAGATGGCCAAATACTGACAACACCACATAGTGCATCCTTTGCAGCCCCCTCACAACACACCTGCTCCTCCCTTTGTGGGCACCTGCTCTTCCTCATCACTGCTGTCTGAGGAGTCACTGCTCTCAGCCTCTTTTGCAGGAGCCTTGGCAGGGCCTTTCTTTGGCTGTGCAGCTTGGGGAGGTGGTACAGCACTGTACGGACCTATAAAGAGAGGGAGAGATGCATTCAGATGTCAGCACTGTGGCACATTTGAGAACTTTGTTTTAACTAGAAAAGCACTTCTGATATTCAGTTCAATTTATTTCYCTTCTGTAGTTATAAAGATATTAGCTTATAATTTGGAGGGTTACTTCAGCCCACTCCACTGCTACCTTCTGTTTTTGTTGTGAATTTAGCTCCCCTCTTGTAGGCTCAGCTGACCCAATATCTCTGAGAAAGTTCTCTCAGTACTTTAGAAAACAGAAACCTGGGTTGCCAAACTGTTTCAGAATAAATGGATATTTGCTAGATCTTGTTCCTTTTCATTTATTCTTTTCTTGAATCCTCTATTCCAAAGTTTCAGACTGAGTTTCAATGTCTGATCTCCTACTCAAGCCAATTCTACACTGGAAGTCCTATAAGGGCTGTACCATGTTGAACAGAGGTCCATCCAGCCCGACTGTTGAACTGAGACTGAGTGGCTGTGTATACCTCAGAAAAACAGTCCCGTGACTATAGACTAATCAGAGATAAATCACTTTCCAAATCTTGACAAATAGGAAACTTGCAATAGGGATGTCCTTAAAAGCTATCTGAACAGAAGACTATTAAGCAAGGCAAGCAGGCTAAGTCAGAATCTCTCTCCTCTCATCCTTTGCCAAARAGGGGCTACACTTCAAGTTTAGTCCTAGCAGTGTACATGGAACTAAACCGCTCTGTTTCTACCACATTTGACATAAGGTACCATTTGAAGCCTTGCACAGAGCAAGAAGTGGAGAAGCATCTGCAACCTGCAAACACCTCTCCCAGGATAGCAGGGTTAGCAGCAAGGAGCSTCCCACACAGCAACAACAGTGTTTAGTACTTGCCAGACTTGGGCTTTTGTTTTGCAGCTGGCTTGTCGTCCTCCGAGCTGTCAGAAGAGTCCTCACTGCTACTGGAACTTGCCTTGGCAGGTTTGGCTTTGCCTGGACAAGCTTGAGGGGCTGCAGGTTTCACTACAGGCGATTTCTTGGGAAGAGCCTTATTGCAAGGAAGGAAGGAGATACACACAAAAATGAAATTCCATATCCAACTGTCCATCCAAGATTTGTGTATCCCATTTTAACTCAATGCCTACTCATCAGAGAGCAGATTTTGAAAACTAAGGTATGAAGATTAGTGAAAAATAGCAAATTCTCGGAAACACAGGCATGATTGTTCTGGCCGTTCTGTTATCTTCTGTTCCCTTCCTGACAGTCCCTCTGACTATGTAAGAGGGACACAGAACACTGACTGAAATGACTGTGAAATGGTTACAATGTCACTTGACTGAACATATTTTCATATGGAAATTTTCTGTGTTGCCAAAAAAAATATTCCATAATGCAAAATGCGAAGTTTACAGGTAGCTAACAGAAGYTGCACAAAAGTAAACACATAAGAGAAACTGCAACATGGTTAAGAAAGAAGATTTTTCAGGTAGAAGGAGCAGAAAGTGGTGTATATAAGCATTAGGAAAGAAAGTCAATACATGGAGAGAAGACACAGAATTCCACTATACAAAACAGAAAGTCAACAGGAGGCCACAATGGCTGCACTCACTTGTCAGGCAGTCTGTGCATTGGTCTACACATTTCATAGTCCCTGCAAAGCAGGGATACATCCACTATGACTAGATTTCTACAGTCTTCATGAAGTCTTTGCCTCACATACCTTCTTTGGGGCAGCCTTTTTCTCATCAGAATCTTCACTACTGCTGCTACTGCTTGCTGCTTTTCCATTGACTGGTTTGGTAGTTACCTGGGCAGCTTTAGTTCCTTTATGGACAAGGCAAAAGAGATATCAGAAAATATGCTATGGAAGGTGATGGGTAATTCCATTCAGCATGAAGTATCAGAGAGAAGAAAGAACCACAGGAAGCTAACAGGTGAAATTAAAGCAGTATTGTGAAACTAATTTTTATCCAACTGCAAATTTAGAGAAGATTTTCAGAAAACTGTTCCAGCCAGTCGTAAGTTCTGGGATCAAATGCTGGGTTTATTATTTTTAAACTTGCTGCAGCCCAGTGCTACTCATTGTGTAGAAGACACTGGCAAAAGCACAGCTTCTGCAGTTAGGTTTGCTGAATGCAGCTATAAAAAAAACAACCCTTGGCACACAGGTATMATCTCCCAAGTCTCCCATAACTATTCCCCCAGCTTTTTTATGTATGCTGACTCATGACGCACAATAAAGTAGTACCTGATTTAGGTGTCACTGGTTTTGCTGGCTGTTTCTTTGGTGCTTCCTCGTCTGAGCTGCTCGAGTCAGAGCTGGAGCTCTCTGCTTTCTTCTGAGGCTGGCTTTTGGTGCCAGGTGGTTTCACTGCTGTTTTTGTTCCTTTCTAAACAAAAGAGGGGAAACCCATCAATCTTCTAGGCAAGAAAGGAGGCTAATAAGCATGACACACATACAGGGAGTATAAACTGCTAGCTTTCACAGATGTTGCTATTTTTACTTGGAAATTCCACTCTGCCTCAAGATGAAGACCTAAAAAACCCAATTTCGCTCAGGAAAATCTCCCAGAGGGTGGGAGGACAAGGGATTTCCCTTGCACTTCAGTCCCCAATTCTACCTCTGCAAATTGGGTAGCTTGCAGGCTGGTACTGCATTATCTTTCCTCTAGGGACAAATTTACTTTATAGGCTCAAAACAGCAAGTGGAACAACTCTGGTTCATCTCTTCAAGTATATACTCCCATTTCTCAAAAACTTTTATTTTTCAAGCAATTTTAGATGATCCTTTCTCTTCAGTGAAAGCAAGAAATGGCAGTCTTAGGAGAAAAGCAAGAGGCTTTTGGATGTGAAACAAACTGGGTGCTGAACCTGACATGAACCTTTTGCTGGGACCACTACAAATGGCAGACTGTGCGTTACAGAACCATCTTATTAGACTGTACCTACACCAGTCTAGGTATTTCATAGTTCAGGAAAAGTGGTCCCAATTCCAAAGAGAATTCTGCTGGTCAAACCTACTGTTATCTATCAGTGTCAAATAYATTAAAGAGGCTGGAAACAAAAGCTGACCTTTGCTGGCTGCTTCTCCTCCTCAGAGTCTGAATCCTCACTGGAATCCTCACTGCTGCTCTCTGCCTTCTTGGCAGGAGTGGCGGCTTTCACCTTGGGTGCAGTTGTTACTTTAGCTGCAAAGAAGAGATGTTAASTCAATTCATATCTTTCATACACATATTTCCTGGACTCCTGTGCATGAAGGCATGAAACTGAAGTTATTAAATCACAGCTSAAGTTCAAGACTGGGCTTCAAGCCTTCATTTATTTGGCAGAGCATGGTAGAAGACTCCAAAAATGAATTTTGAACAATAGCATTGTTCAGTCTTGGACACATACCAGKTTAAATGCAAACTTTATGACCAAAACTTTCACCAACTGCAGACTTCCAGAGGGAACAGTGCAGCACTGTTTTGAGCTTCCAGGCTCRTGGCTCATTTGAAACAAGTCTGCTCCTTTCTGGTTACTGCTTGCTTCTTTGCTCCACATSATCAATAAATCATTTCGAAGTATATTTCTGACCTCTCTTATCAAGGAAAAATCAGGTCTAAGTTCAAAGTCAGCCTTAGGCTAAGTTGAATTAAAGGGCAGTTTTATTTCTAGGTGTCTCCCTCTTCCTGCCTACTACTCCTTTCCCTTGAACCTGCTGCTAGATGCTCACACAGCCGAGTCCACCACATTTCAGACAAGACAGAAGAGCAAATTCAGATAAAAAAAGGGGAAAACAGCTCACCTCCTGCCAACAAGCTGAGGGACTTACCTCTAGACAGTACTAGGACCCAGGCTTGAGGGAAAGGAGGCTTGGACAAACAGGCTTTATCAAACTGGCAGACATAACGTAGGTCTGTCCTAAGCACTCCTAGGATCCTCACCTGGTTTCTTGGCTGGTGGGGTCTCATCTTCCTCACTGGAGCTGTCATCGCTGCTTGAGGAGGATTTCCTCTTGGCAGCAGGCCCATTGGGAACAATCTTTCTTTTCTGGGCRGCAGGGGACCTGGAATGGGAATGACGTGGGTTCAAAGAAGGTTTCTGCTAACCCTATGTCCTTACTCTCTGCGCTGCAGCMCCAAACCCGGGACTAGGCGCAGGTCTAAGGGAACAAATGACGCTGCCAGAGTTAGTCTTGCACTGTTAACCCCCGGGGGCTGATCCGAGCCGCTGTCCCGTGGCGCCAGGGCTCCCCGGCGGGCCCCGTGCCCCACGGC